ACATTTTAATAGGATTTGAGGGATTCTTAAAATTTGAATGAATATTATTATTTTTTTCAAAAATAATAAAGACGTGGAGGGGTAAAATTGGAAATAGGAATACAAAATAAAATAACACGATCAAATTGTTTCGATCATCGTGGAATTGATAATTATGTAATCGTCGACAAAGAAGAGGAAGACTATTTTTAAGAGATTTGTGTTACATATCACATCTTCATCACATACACGACATCTATCGATGATTCCCTTCAATATTACACGATTAGGGTAAAATCAAGAAGTCGTTACTCTGTTTGGGCATCACAGATTTATCACGGTGTAATAATTGTAAGGAGAAATCGAGAAATTAGACACCAAATCACTAATATACGATGATTTCTCTGCTTTATCACAAGATTATCACAGTGTGAGTATCACATGCTTAGGTAAAATCAAGAAGTCGTTACCCTGTTTGGGAATCACAGATTTATCACAGTGTGATTATCGTAAGGAAAACTTGAGAAATCATTACCCTATCACACATTTATCACAGTTTCATTATCATACGATCAAAGGGCAAACTCGAGTGGTTGGTAAACTTGATCGATACTATATTACACAATTATTACATTGGCTCTTCAAACTGCTTTTGCAACAATGGGTATATTGTACACTTGATTATTTAAACCCATAACTCAAAAAACAGTTTTGAATCCTTGCACTGTTTTTCGGCAATTGAGACTATTCTTGCACGATGATTTTGTCACTTATCACATGTTTATCACACCTTGATTATGGCTCGATGATTGCCTATAACCAATTAGGAGTAACAATTGATAGCACAATTTGAGTCGATAACAACAACAAATAGCAAACTTGTATACACATTAACCTTGTGTATTCAAGTGTATCACAAGTAAGATTTATCACATTCATTACTGTTCGATTGCATAATGAGAACTCGATAAATTAATACTCGAAATGTGTATCACATAAATACCACGGTTCAATTATTACTTGATTAGGGAAAATTCGAGTAGACATTAACCAGATGGTGTATGCAGATACAGGCAACGATGGAGACGTGAGATTCAGCGTGATTAGATTCCAACTTAAAATCATGGAATAATTACAATTAATTAAAATAACATAAAAAATACCTAATTACGTTACTACCCTTATTGATTTAGTTTTATTTAATATAATTTAAATTATTATTAAAATGGTTAGAGACCCACAATTGTTTTCACATTTTCGCAAAACAAAGGGGCTCTCGTTTGAACTCCCGCTTATACACACACACAAACATGCGTGCACGCACGCACACACAGACACATTTGTGTGTGTTATTTTGAATAATCTCGTAGAACAAATTAAATTCATATAAAATAATAAAACTAAAAAAGAAAGAACCATTGATACTAAATATATAAAGCTTACAAAAAATAATTCAATAGTGCAAAATCGATCTACTCACTAATTTATTCAATTTTCAAATAATTCATTCAACTATCCGTGTACGGGAATTAGAGTAAGTACCTACCTATTCAAATAATTTGTATTGTTTTTAAATTTAACCTGAATATCCAACCCGCTATATGAGCCGACTAATCTCAGGGTGACCACCTGCTTTGCAGATAGCTCCGAAGTCACCGCATTTGAACCTCCGTAGTCACAAGAGGATTTTTATTCCTAAACTATAAACAAGATAAATATATTAAGATTAAACTACAAATTTGGTACCTATGGTTTGTCGAAATAGCACTTTTCATTCTTATAATTTTGAAATTACAAGATGGTCATCACGATTTGTAAAAACGTCAAATTTGTTCCTTTTTGTTAATGGCCATTAAAAATTCCGTTAAATGATAAGCATTTTCGTCTTTCTATCGTTTTGTCATTTTTTACCCAATCAAAATTCACATGGACCAAAAATCATAGTGTAAAAGACAAACATGCCCCCTCATTTGATGGAACTTTTTAATGACCGTTAGTGGCAAGGACCAAATTCAAATGTTTTTGCAAACCATGAAGACCATTTTGTAATTTTAAAACTTCAGGGACGAAAGATGTTATTTTTTGACAAACCAAAGGGACCAAATTTGTAGTTTACTTTTAAAATAATTAAAGAGTAAATTACGTTTTTGTCCCTTTATTTGATCCCTATGGTTTCAAAATTTTAGTTTTCATCCCTATGATTTGTAATTCATTTATATTTTTGAACCTGAGTCCAAAAAACTACTTTTAAATATGAAAGACTAAAATAGACATGTGTTGTAAGCCATAGGGACGGAAAAATCAATAATGAAAAATATAATAAATTATAAACCATAAGAATGAAAACCGAACTTTTAAAACCATGTGGACGAAAATAGAAATTTTCAACAAACTATAGGGACTGAAAACATAATTTACTCCTAATTGGAAAAATAGTCATAAAATATATTTTTGATAAAATACAAAAAAGTCAAATTTAAATAATTAAAGACACAACATTAAATGTTATAGCTAAAAATCTAATAAATAATATATCTTTATGTTTTAATTTCTATTAGAAGGGTACTCATACAATGTAACGAGATAAATCTTTATTTTAATGTTTAGTTTTTATTTTTTTGTCTTTATTGATATAATACGATTTTACGTGGTTTTAATAAAACGATAATGTTTTTTATTTTTGAATTAAATATAAATTTGATATTAACATAAAAAATTTAAAATAAAATAAAATCAATATTAATATTAAATTAACTATTTAATAATTCTCATTTTTTTTGGTATAACTTCTTTAATTCAATTTTTTATTATAATTTAATTTAGGTTTAATAAGAAAGTAAATTTATTTTTGCTTTAATAATATAATTTTTATTAAAGATAATAATTAATATTATGTTAGAAACTCAATGATTATCTTAATTATATTTTAGATTTTCTATATTTAAAATAGATGTTTATTCTGTATTTGATTATGTTTATCTGCAGTTAGTTACACAAATTTAAAAATTGAGCTTTAATAAGTTGTATTTACGCAAAATCACTTGTAATATTTATGTTTATCTGCAATTAGTTACACGAATTTAAAAATGGAGCTTTAATAAGTTGTATTTATGTAAAATCACTTGTAATCTTGAATTTTAGTAATATGCATCAATAAACGGTACTTTATGCATAAAAAAAGGTTTTTAAGAGTTTTTGTCAAATACTTTATAATATAGTATAAATATCAATAGTAAAAATATCATTTAGTGATTTAAAAAGCGTAATGATTATATATTTTCAAGATTGTATGTCATTTTTATTGTGAACATTTATTTTAGAACGATGAGTAATATTTAAGCATTTGATAGCATAACATATTTTTATGTTATAAATATAGTTACAGTTAAGCATTATATAATCATAAAGTGGCCATCCGTACATACAAAAATGTCAAGGTTTGATTGCGTAGTTAAGTAGAGACTAAGGAGCCGTTTATCAAACACTTACCCGATAAGTGTTTACCGGTAAAATTTAACACTATTATATATTTATCGGGTAAGATTTTAGTTCACCAAAACGACATAGTATACAATATTTTACCTGGTAAGCGCTTACCGTGGTAAGAGTCATCGCTCTCACTTACCGGGTAAGACTCTTGATCATTGTCTCGCTCTTATCGGATAAGATTCTTGGTTCTTACTATATTCATCCGTTGAGGTAATGTTACTTGGTAAGCGCTTACCCAGGTAAGTGTTTGGTAAACGGCCCTAAACCGAAGGAGCCGACCAGACCACAAACAAAACCTACATTTAGTGTCCTAGGGATGCGTTAGGTATACAAATAAAAATAGATGGAGTTGGACTGACGATAGTGAGAAAGCTTGCTGGTATTTTTTAAAGTTTTTAAGGTTTTAATTTAATATAAATAGTTTAGTAATTTACATATATCGTCTTATCTTCTTGATATTTCTTCCAGATATTTTAGTGGGATAAAAAAACTGTATTTTTGTCACACTTAATCATGTTTTGGTCTAACTATTATGTCACACGTGGGACAACAAGTTTTCTTTTGATATGTCGTATTTTTTTTGATTAACCTGGATATCACACCCGCTATGCGAGCCGACTAACCCTAGGGCGACCACCCGCTTCACGGGGTAACCCTGGAGTCACTACATTTGAACTTTCATGGTCACAAGGGGATTTTTATTCCTCATTGGATTCGAACCTGAGACCTCCAGACACTTTTGACCAGTCCAAGCTCAAACCAACCATCTTTGTGGTTAACATGTAGTATTATGTCAATCATGCCTCGTATACCAAATACAGACTGACACACTATGTCTTCAGCACATACTGTATCATATTCTTAACATACATTTTAACTATAAACTTTAGACATTTACCGAGGATTTGCACAAGATCTTTGCGATTATAATATCTATTGAGTTATAGTATTCTTCTCGATATTTTCTTGGACTATTTATCGTTGAGGATGGTTCTCGAAAATGCTTTAACGATTATTCTCGTTTCTTAAACGATATTCTTCTCGATATTTTCTTGGACTATTTATCGTTGAGGATGGTTCTCGAAAATGCTTTAACGATTATTCTCGTTTCTTAAACGATATCATGTATACTTTTAGACGTTTACCCACCTTTTCATCATCATCAACCAACAACGTAAACTGGTATATCAGTACGTGTAGTTATAATTAATTGCATGTCTTTTAGTTGTTTAGATATTAAAAAATATTAAATATTTAACTATAATATAATAAGTATGTAAAGTGTATCTTCAACCGTTTATCTAAAACCAAGAAACTGGACAATTTGAAGTTTTTAACCTTTTTTTTTATTCAACAGATCCATTAAAACTTTTTCCAAAACAAAGAAAGTACGAGAGAGATGATAAAAATCTCCAAATTAGGAAACTCTTTAATATTAAATGCTTCAAAAAGATAAATGTTTTTTTTTATATTATGATATGTTAGAATTAACTACACTTTTAACATGTCATTTTTTGTTATTTTATATTTTCTCAACCAGTTTAACTGCTAAAAATTTGGTCAAACCTGATTGGTTCATTATGTCTCGGGAGTGGAACATACCCGAGCTTACTCAGGCTCTAATGGGAAACGAAGTTCTTCAAATCCCTACGTATCTCCAAGATATCTACTAATGATATTCTGTGACGGGGAGCAACCAGTTGGATTTTCCAAGATCTATCATTTTATAGATTTAACAAACTCAAAATTGTCTTCACAACCTCATGTGCAGTCTTAATTCTCGAACTAAGTTAGTCAAATTACAAGAATACCAAATAAGATGAACAAACAAGAATGCTAAAATATGCTCAGAACCCTCTTGATGTCTGCTTAACTCTTCTAGAATCTTCTCCAATGTTCCCCATCTTCTAGATTGAACTGGAATGTTCCAGATCACCAGAGATAATCATTTACCAATTATTTTATAGTCATCAGCTAACTTATTAACTAAAAAATTAACCTATCAGCTAAATTTACCAAATAAACTTATTAACTAAAAAACTAACCTATCAATTAATTTACCAAATATAACTTGAATGTATTACCATTTTATATAAACTTTAATGGGATACTGAAATCTTGAAACTAGATAATATTTTATTGGTTGGGTAAAATTAAAAATGAAGATTTGTAGGAAAATAAAAAACTATGGATTAGAATTGAATCTTGAAAGAAGCGGTTTTGAACGGCCATGATAGAAGAAGATGGACCCCTTCTTCTTTTGCAGAAAGATATATAAATCCAAACTCATTCTGCTTCTGTTCGTTGGTTTCTTGGTTTCAACAAATTTCAGTTAAAAACAGGGTGATCCTTCGTGGGTCTGTGGGCTTCTTCTAATTCTTACTTTCTTTATTCGTTTACTTTTTACTTTTTTGGGGTTTGACCCTCTCTTGTTCTTCACAAATTTGGGTTTTTTTCTACGAAATTTCGCGTATTTTTGGGGTAAAATCTAAGCGTAGCGATGCACCAAAATCGCATGGAACACATGAAATCGCAGTTGTGTTCTGTTTCACCAAGAAAATAATATTCGCGTATCTCAGTTTCTTTTATATGGTTTCTTGTTCTTAATTATCGAATATATTCTTTGCTATTTGTTGGGAATTATTTGTTTTTTTTAAAATTTTATTGAGCAAACGATTATCCCTTTTACCATTCCTTTTTTGCCACATTAACGAATTTCATGGAGTAGAATTTTGGAATGATAATTAATTGGTTCTTTAATTATCCAGAAAAAAATAAATTATTTTTTTATATGATTGTTTAATGTTGGATGAATTCTCTCCCATAAAACAATTTCAGCTGTTTCTTTTCTGGGATTTGTTTCTCTCTTTAGGTTTGATATTTTTTGTTGAGTTATTAGTCATTGATTTGGTGTTTTATTAGTCTTGATTAGGTTGAAATCTTTTTCAGTTGTATTTTAATTTTATTTTCTTCCTAGTTTTCTTCGATTTCACCATTGTTCTTGGAAGTTTGATCGATTTGGAGAAGTGGGTTTCATTCTGCATTCGTAAATGTCATATACTTCATGGAAATCCCCCAATTTTCAACGATTTTAGAGTATCAAATCAGGTTAGGGTTCTTTCTATTGATGTTGCCAATTTCTTAATTCCTTCTGTTCTGAAATATGAAGTAGATCTGTATATGTTGTAAGAGTTTCTTTTTATTGATGTTTTTGTGATTAGATCTTAGAGTTTTATGATTTTTATAGCTAGTAGCATTTCACCAATTAATAGAGGAAGGTTATCTAAAAGGGGGAAAACTTATTATATGAATCATGTTTATGTGTTGCTTTATTGAATATATGAGAAATGGTCATCAATGGCTGCCTACTTCAAATAGATTTAGTTTTTCTTTGCAAGTCATTGCTGAGTTTCATATGCCTTAGATTCTTGTTTAAAATGGTTCATATATATATATATATATATATATATATATACAAAATGGTTTTGTTGGGCTTGTTGCAGAACATGTTTAATGATTTTGTAACTATCAAAGGCTGGTCGTAGATTTGTATCCGTCCATTTAATATTTCTTGGATTTGTAAGCTAAAAATGTTCCTAAATTGTGTATTGGTAAGGAGCTGTACATCTTTGCAGAAATGTTTCTAAATTGTTAGCGGGTATCAATCTTTGCTCAATATCAACATGTCATCCTGAGGCCGGCTCAACTGGCAAATAACGGCTAGGCCTTGGGGCTCCTCTCATAGGTCGCAGGTTTGAATCTTAATAGGACCACTAGGGATTCTTTTAAAGTATATAATATTTATATATGGCAAATGAAATTCACACACACTCCTCGACCTCTAGGAACGTTGGGTTACTGGATACTGCTTTTGATGCCACTGGGGATTTTCCTGGTTGTTATCTTCAAGGCCCCATTGGATTGGTCGAGGTGCACAAGCTGGCCTGGACACCCACAGTTACCTAAAAAAACATGTTTTATGTACCCAAACTCCAAGGTCTAAGGTCTAAGGTCTTTGAACATGCAACCCCAGCATTCATTTAAAAAACTCATTTTGCATTTGCAGAAATACTATATAATTTGATACTGCAATGTTATACTATACTTCAATGTTTGGGTCAATTGCACTTTGCCAGCTTGTAGAATAAATTTTGCACCAGAAAGTATCTTTTGGTATGGTTGTCGTTCGTGGAAGTTGAATTTATTTAATCCTTGGTTCGGGTTTGTTCCAAGTGTAATTACGTCAGCATGTTCACAAGCTGGACACGTGCCATATTTTAAGGGCAAATTGGTCGTAACACGATTTCCCTTTTAAGAATCCCTCTATTTGTTCACGCCTTTCATTCACTGATGAACTATTTCATATGAATTGTGAAAGAGGAAGCGGAGAGCGAGAGGGAGAGAAACAAGAAATGAGAGGAGAAGAAGCATTGAGATGGTGATTTGCATTTGTTTCTCTATTGTGCATCTTGTTTTGTATAGCTTATAGCGATATTTTGGCATGATCTATGAGATATATACGCGCCATATAAGCATCGTCGAATGAATCTCATTCTAAGATCCAAAGAAAATTTCATTCTTGAGAAATCTTACGAGCACTTAGCTAGGTTTTGACATGTCATAATTGAGTTCTCGTTCTTATATTTGGTCATAATCTAAGGTGGATCCACTCCTAAATAATCTTATATGAGGTCTAAACTATTTTAAAACTTTAACCGGAAAATTGGATCCCATGATCGCATGGTTCTACGTATTTCCAGTGTTTGGATGTTCTCATGATGTGTTTTTGTGTTTCCTTTACATGATCGAATTCAAAGAGATGAATTGAATACATGAATTCATTTAAAAAAGGTTGTCTCCCTCTTTAAGTTTTCTATTGGTTTGCTTTCCCTCTTAGGGACATATGATGGCACCATAATAATCCGATCGAGTGTTACGCTATGGAAACCGTCGTCAACGAAGAAGTAGACATAGATATAGTCAACCAATGTGAGACAGTGAAGGTTAAACGTCTCCTCAGACGAAGAAGTTCAACCAGATATCAACTCTCGGATATGAGCTCTCGAGCACAAATTTCTCATGAGAAGCGAAAGAAGGTTAATTTCTGTCGATGCATTGCATGATATAATCTTCATTACATTTTGATGTCGTTTTCCCATCAAAAGTTTTATATTTCTATTTATCCTCTCAAATGAGAAATGTTGTATCAACATGTTGTACATGATCTATGTGTGTTATACGCACTTGGCTCAGAGATACGGAGTCACAGTTTTTAGGAGCCAGGGGTCTTCGCAGAAACAACTGCTCTACTGGTAGAGGTTAGGTCTGCGTACATCTTAGCCTCCCCAGACTCCAATGCTAAGTGGGATATACTGGGTTTGTTTGATTTGGTCTTTACTCCTCAGGGTAGAGGTCCGGTCTACGTATATCTTACCCTCCCCAAACCCCATCGCTAGGTGGGATATACTGGGTTTATTTGGTTTGGTCTTTATTAATCATTGTGACGCTTTTCGTTCTTTGATCCTATGTTGGCATCAACATTCGAAAGAGATCAGTTTTAGAATAATTTGGGGTCCATAATGGATAAAGTGAGTTACATCAATCATAACATAATTTTGAGCTACAAACTTCAATAACCTTGAGGGCCAACTCAACAGGCAATCAAAGGCTATGCCTTGGGGCTCCTCCCCATTGGTTGCAGGTTCGAGTCTCCTCAGGGCCTGGGGTCATTCTGGAAAATTACCTTAAATGAGTTTTTAATTAAATCCTTGACCTTCTTATGACCATTGAGCATCATAGGTATCTAACATATTCATACCTAAGGCTTTTCCACAAAGTGGTGACGAAACGTATAACTTCTACATCGTTATTAGGTCAGGAGGCCACAGATTTTTAAATAACAAATGATGGAAGGTTATATGCCTAAATATCCCTCACGGGTATCTGGGGTTTTTCTGGCTGTTATGTTCAGGGCCCCATGGGATCAGTCGAGGTGTGTGTAAGCTGGCCCAAACACCCATGCTTGCCGAAAAAGAATTCTTACTTTAGTATACATGATATTATGTTTCGTTTTTTCCTCTAACACTTTCCTTGACTCCATGACGCTGTTTGATACCTACAAAGTCGACAATTCAGCATCTTATTAGAATATTATTTTGTAGGACCAATCTTCCAAGAACACCCCGAAAGATGATCACAATCTTGAGTCCTCAGGCAGCCCGCGAAATCAAAAGGTAGGAAGTTGTGGTTTTTTTGTGTGTGTGTATATATAGGGTAAGGTTAAGGGGAAAACGGCAAAAAAGAAAAATGAAAAACTGAGGAACATCCCAAAAACTGTCCATCTGGACGGTTTGCACATGTGCATACAAGTAATTTGTAAGCAATTTGTCTGGTATGCACATGTGCGTAACATGCACACCTGCATAAAAACCAAAAACAGCTTGAGTTACTTGTATGCATATGTGCATACCGTCCAGATGAACGATTACCAGAGAATTTTTCATTTATTTTTTTTTGGGGGAGGGGGGGTTCCCCTGGACCTCCCTTTATATATAATATCAATTGATATGAGATGCATCAACACTCAGGATTTAATTGAATTCAGAAGGTGGAGTCCTTTAGCTTGACTAACTTCATTACAAATTTAAAGATATTTGCTATTTTGCTTCCTACTTGGTGTGTAAATACATAATTTTGCTTTTATAACAGTGATCTTTATTATCAATTTCTTTCGCTCTTCAAAGGTTTTATGCATTAGCTTATATATATATTTTTTAATCAATGCAGATAACAGCTAGATGGGATCCCTCAGAGGCTTGTAGGCCTAATATAGATGAAGCCCCAATATTTCATCCAACTGTTGAGGTAATCATCTTATGTTGAAATTTGATCAACCATGGATCCTTATGGTAGTTTTCAGTTTTTTAGAGCATCCCCAACAGTTTCTCATACGGAAATCTAAAAAAGCAATTTCTGTTATTGATCGAATTACCCGTTCATCAGGAGTTTGAAGATACGCTTGGTTACATATCAAAAATACGACCTGTGGCAGAGGCTTATGGTATATGTAGGATCGTACCTCCTACTTCCTGGAAACCTCCCTGCCCCCTCATGCAGAAACAGTTTTGGCAAGAAGCTAGATTTTCTACCAGAATCCAGCAAGTCGACTTGCTTCAAAATAGAGAACCCATGAAGAAAAAGAAAGGCCGAAAACGGAGAAGAAGAACATATACAAAAATTGGAGCAAGGAGGAGATGTCCTCGTTCTGAAGGCTCGGAGTCGAATGCTTCTTCTGACAGTGACGACAAATTCGGATTTCGGTCTGGATCAGACTTCACATTTGAGGAGTTTCAGAGTTTTGCAAAAAAATTCAAGGAGCATTATTTCGGAATGAATGATGTAAATCCGAAAACAATTGTTAATGGGCATGAAGAAACACAAATATGGGAACCATCCATTGAAGAAATTGAGGGTGAATATTGGAGGATAATTGAACAACCAACGGATGAGGTTGAGGTATAGAAGAAGATTGATATTTTAATTCCATTCCCTCTTTGAGATCGAGAACTTTGGCATACTATTAAGTGTCTTCCTTTTTCTTCTTTATATCAGGTATATTATGGAGCAGATCTTGAAACAGGTGTATTTGAGAGCGGTTTCCCAAAAGCTTCATCCATAGAAAATAACGAATCCGATGAATATGTGAATTCAGGTTGGAATCTAAATAACTTCCCCCGTTTGCCAGGGTCTGTGTTATCTTTTGAAGGAAGTGACATCTCTGGAGTTCTAGTACCATGGCTATATGTTGGCATGTGCTTCTCGTCATTTTGTTGGGTAACTTTCTGACATATTTCTTATAAATGCACAAACTTCTGATAGATTTTAAGACATTCTTGTGTTAGGTAGCGTCGGGTTATTTACAAGAATAACCTTTCGACGGATTTTTTTAAATGCATAACCTTTTTAAATGCATAACCTTTTGACAGATTTTAAATGTCAGAAGGTCATACATTTAAAAAAAAATCTGCCAAAAGGTTGTTCTCCTAAATAAACCTCTAGCGCCTCGGCTTTTTATAGAAAATAAATAGGATTGCTGTAGAAGGTCTAGAATTTTAAATTACAGTTATTTTCTCCTTCATATGCTTTGCCTTTGTGTCTTTATGTTACTAAATATAATCCCTGACTTGTATTTTTTTTATCGGTTTGTGGAAAAGCACGTTGAAGATCACCATCTTTACTCGGTAAACTATATGCATTGGGGTGATCCAAAAATATGGTATGGTGTACCGGGGAGCCATGCAACGGCCTTGGAGGATGCAATGCGGAAGCATCTACCTGATCTATTCAAGGAACAACCCGATTTACTCCATCAACTTGTAAGCACCTTCGTTTGTTGGTTAAGTCAACCATTCGTTATTTATGTTAATTGTACCCGTGTTCCTTTGCACACACTCTCACTTGTAGCCCGCTTGCTTTTTCTTTTTCTTTTCTAATTCTTGTTTTGCAAACGGGTCTTTGGGGAGTAGAGATAAAGTCTGCCTACATCCTACCTCCCCCGACCCTACTGCATGGGATTTACTGGATTTCTTTTAGCCAATTAAGTAGTCACGCCAACAGAATTTTTGTAAAGGTCATATATACATCGACATAGAGGGTCAGTTTCAGGGGAAAACCGTAAAAAAAATGAAAAACTGAGGAACACCCTTGTAGCTGTTCATTTGGACGGTATGCACATGTGCATACAAGTAATTTGTAAGCAATTTGTCCAATATGCACACGTGCTAACACGCACATGTGCATAAAAACCAAGAAACAACTTCAATTACTTGTATGCACATGTGCATACCGTCCAGATGAATTGTTACAAGGGTGTTCCTCAGTTATTTTTTTTTTTTGGGGGTTTTCCCCTAAACCTCCCTCTCGAGATATATCCCAGCATTGCCCATTGCCATATGGTCATATTGCAAATACCCACTTCACTAAATGTAGATATTCGATTCTTATAGTTTAATTTTAATGCACCTTTGGGGTAGAGGACAGATCTGAGTACACTTCACCTCTATAGACCCTGCTCTCACAGAAGGATATATTGGGATCGTTTGGTTTGGTTTAATTCAGTGCACCTTGGTCTTATTGTGGCAGGTTACTCAGCTGTCTCCTAAAGTTTTGAGGTCCGAGGGAGTACCGGTTTATCGTGCTTCTCAGCATTCTGGAGAGTTCATTGTTACTTTTCCAAGGGCATACCATGCAGGGTTTAATTGCGGTTTTAATTGTGCTGAAGCTGTGAATGTAGCACCGGTGGACTGGCTAGAACACGGGCAAGGTGCAGTGGAGCTCTATAGTGAGCAACGACGCAAGACATCTGTATCTCATGACAAGTTGCTACTGTTGTCGGCTAGGGAAGCTGTTAGGGCTCTATGTGAGCTTCCAGTTTCAAATGAAGAGGCTTATGAGAATTTGATTTGGAAAAGTGTTTGTGGGAAGACTGGGATACTTACGAAGGCCGTTAAGGTAGATTAATTATTAATGTTTATATATATATATATGGGGTCAAGTTCGGGGGAAAACCGCAAAAATAAAATAAAATGAGGAGCACCCTAGTAACCCATTCAGCTATACACTATGCACATGTGCATAAAAGTAACTATTAAGTAAATTTTTTAGTATGCACACGTGCATAGAAACCAGAAAACATCTTCAATTACTTGAATGCACATGTGCATACGTACTGATGAATAGTTATGAGGGTGTTCCTCAGTTTTTCAATTTTTGAGGGGTTTTCCCCTAAACCTCCCCCCCTCTCTCTCTCTCTTTATATATATATATATATATATATATATATATATATGGTTGGGTTCCGGTGGGAAGGGAAGTTATGGTGAGAAGCATATAAAGAGAACTCCACCCTTGGATCAATCCTAATTGAATGTCAATGCTCATGAGGTGCACAGTGCACTGAGGTGCACCAAATCAATTCCCTTCTAAAGTGCAATTGATGGGTGGGCATGAGATTAAAAGTGGTCAAGGGTTGAGATCTCTTCTTACGCTTCTCAACATAACTTCCCTTCTCACACGATCCTTTGCCTATATATATATATATGTAAAAACTTTTTACAAGCCGGGGGTCTTTACGGTGTGGGCAAAATGCAACAAAGTTTGGTTTAGTTCCTATTTAGTGTAACAAAGATTTTTTTTTTCTCAATCGATGTAACAAATTCAAAATTTCCTATTTTTTACCCTTTTTGACCGATAACCTGCTGAGCTTGTAACATTCGATGACATGGATACCCGCTTACAAAAGGTGTACGAAATATTTATGAAAGGGTTTGGGCAAAGTGGACCATAAACTTGATGTCAGCGTATTTGTGAAAGGTTACCGGTGAAAATGAGTAAAAATTAGGAAATTTTGTAACTTTGTTACCTTGAATTGGAAATTTTGAAACTTTTGGGCCGTTTACTAAATGCTTACCGGGTACGCACTTACCAATATCACTTACATTATCGATCGAGTATGACAAGGATCAAGAATCTTGCCCTGTAAGAGGCATAACAAGGACCGAGAGTCTTACCCTGTAAGTGAGGAAATAGACTCCTACCCGGTAAGCGCTTACCGGGTTCAAGACGCTTACCAACAATCTGTTTTGATGACCGAAAATGTTACATGATAAGGTAAGTTTGGGTAATTTCTCTTGCTGTAAGCGCATATCAGTAAGTGTTTGGTAAACGGCCCTTTTGTTACATTAAATTGAATATTATCATCTTATCTTTTTTCTTTGTACCCAACATTTCAGGCCAGAATTGGGATGGAGCTAAAAAGGATTGAGCAACTTCAAAGCGGTTTTCAATTTCAAAAGACGGAAGAGGACTTTGATGCAACAAACGAAAGAGAGTGCTTCCTATGTTTCTATGACTTACACATGTCTGCAGCCAGCTGCAAGTGCTCTTCTGATCGCTTTGCGTGTCTAAAACATGCAAATCTTATATGTTCCTGTGATCCAGACCAACGAACTATTTATCTCCGTTATACCTTCGATGAATTAACCATTTTAGTTGATTCACTTGAGGGTAATTCAGATGCTCTACGAAAATGGGCGTCACAAAACCTTGGATTAGATCAAGAAAAGGTGTTTGTGGGAGACGGCTTCAAGAAAGATAAATGTGTGCCTTTATCTCCAATAAAAATAGAAACTTGCAGCTTTTCACATCATCATGATCAAATGGGTGTCATTCAATCTGATCCGCATCAAAAAACTTCTGATGTTTATCCCAAAGAAGAGCCCATTTGCATGGCTGATAGAAGCTTTGGAGGACAGAGGTGCTTGATAGATTTAAATCTTGATAGCATCTCTGTTGATGATGGAAGAGAGAACAAAGTTGCGTTGAATGTTTCGGGTTCAACAGATGTTCAGAATTATAGCGCATCTGATGATAAAAAGCTGTTAGGATTTGATAATTTGGCATCACATTCGGATATGAAGTTGTGGGGATCAAATCTCGATGTTGAACTTCTGAACATTGGATCTGTGGCTTTTGGAAAACTGTGGTGCAATAATCAGGCCATATTCCCAAAAGGTATTGTGGCCTTGCGATCTTCTTTTGCACTTAAGTTAATAAGTTTAATTAGTTATTGCATGTTTATAACTCTAGTCCACATCGGCAGGATTCCGAAGCCGAGTAAAATACTTCAATTTTCTTAACCCTCCGGTAATGAGTAGCTACATATCAGAAATCCATGATGCTGGGCTCATTGGTCCTCTATTTAAGGTAAGTTCTCTATTTTTCTTCCTCCCCCCTCTTTTTGTTTCCCTCTTGTTTCAGATCGGTACATATGACATAGATCTCCTATAAAGATGGTAGATGTATTAGGGCGCTAGGGGCATATTCAAATGAGAACCGTAAACATTTTGAGGACCTAGGAACCAACTATTCATGAAGAACGTCGTGATAGATACTCATGATGAAAATTATTCATAATGAAAATAAATGATGTTCATTATAAAAATGCATGATATTCATGATGAGTATCCAGGGTTATTCATTATGAATAATACGTGAAATAGTTGGTTCCGGTACCACGTTCTCAAAATATTTATGTTTCTCATTTGAACTTTCCTCTAGGGCGTTATATGTTAGATCTCTTACAGGAATTCATATTTAGGTCTTTATTTCTAATCATAATATGGAGGTTCATGAGTTTCCAACTCTTTTTTTTAAAGTATATAATATTTATATACGGCTAATGCAACAAATAAACTCACACACCCTCATGACCTTTGGTGAGGCCAAAGGCCTTTAAAATAAACTCACACACCCTCACTTTTTTTTTCCAATTATGCCCTTTATATTTTACATAAACCAGAAACTATCCTTTTGGGGAGTTTTACATTGTTATCTAGTTTCTCAACTAGTTTTTACCAAACCTGACTAGTTTATGAGCTAACAAGCCAACAACTAGCTTTTCAACTAACAACTAGCTTATCAGCCCACTAGCTTTTCAGCTAATAGCTAGCTTATTAGCCAACTATTTTTGTAACTAACAGCTAGCTTATTAGAGCATCTCCAACAGCTATGCTAAAATAGAGATTCTGGAGAGATGGTAGAAATCTCTAAATTTGGAGAAATCTCTAAAACTCCATATTTAAGGGAGAAATAACATTTAATTCTTTTTTACCATTAGGAGACACTGAAATTAAGTGTTTAGGATAGAGAAATAATATTTTATTAAATGTATTGAATATTTTAATAATATAGTTAATGGTAGAACTTCTAAAATAGAGTAGCTGTTGGAGTTGAATGTAATCTTATTTAGAGATTTTAACTTTTGGTATTCTATTTTAGAAGAAGTATAGCATAGTTGTTGGAGCTAACTTATTAGCCAACTAGCTTTTCAGCTAACAACTAGCTTTTCAGCTAGTTCTTTTCCAAACATGGACTAAGGATCATTGGCCCAACGGTACCCGAGTTACCGGCAAAACTCCGTTTCCCAGAAGGGTCAAGGGTTCAAGCCTCAATTAAAGTGAGTGTGCGTGAGTATTTGCCATATATAAATGTTGTATACTTCCAAAACTAGCTTTTCAGTTTGCCAAACATAGCCCAAGGCTCCTCAACTTTGTGAGGGTTGGGTGGGGAAGTCTTTGTATGCAACCGTTCTCTTGCAGTTTTGTTGCAAATCGTTTCAAGTACAAAGTGTGGACCAAAAAGCGGTTACTAGCTAACTTGCATCAAGACTTATCTATGAACTGATGCTTGCACCACCGCTTAGCTTTCATAAAATGCATCTACCGTGACTAGAATCTAAACTAATAAGCCTTCAGTTTTGTTCTCAAGTTCTTGTTTTCCTATTCGTGATTTATTGATCCTTAACCTCTCTCTTTTTTACTATAAAATTCAGGTTTTCTTAGAAGAGTGTCCGAGTGAGAGCTTTATGGAAGTATCTGCGGATAAGTGCTGGGAACTGGTGCTGCAAAGGCTAAATCAAGAAATGGTCAAGGGCTGCAAATTGGCAAATCATGCCATGAAGCCACTAGGAACCATTAGCGGGCTTGAAATGTTCGGGTTACTTTCTCCTGACATTGTTCAGGTATATGCGAATTTATTGTTATAATAGAACTTAAGTTCCTACTTTCTTTTCATTATGTTTTTTTAAAGCATATATAGAGGCAGGTTCAGTTTAGCACTTACTCAGTCAATGATTAGTGTTGACCCGGACCGCATTTTTACCTGTTTAGCACTTATCTAATTTGTGTTGGTAATGGCCCCTTGGTACTGACGATAATATTAATCAGGTGATTGAGGCTCTTGATCCCGAGCATAGATGCCTGGCATACTGGAGCACCAAATTCAACCAGAATAGTCGAGAATAGAAATTTTGGTGGTTTCGGGCATGAGCAGGATGCAGAAGAGAGCAATAAAACATGGGGACATTGCTGACCGAAACGGAGCAGTGCGAGAACGGGAGGTTGACTATTATTGACTTGTTAGGCTTAGTTCTTTCACTTTCTTAAAATAGAAAGGAAGTTGGAAATCTAGATCAACTCTGATAGGTTCATGGTAGAAAACTGAAGTGATAGAGGCCTTCTTGTTGGTTGCTAGCATACATACATCTTTTGGTTTTTCATTTTTCTTAACCAAAAAAGAAAGAAAAATAAACTTGAAAAATTACATGTGGGATCTTTACAAGTGCATTTCAGTTTTGTTTTATTGTTTTCTAATTGTTAATTGTCTCTNCCCACCCCTATACTTATTTTTTAAAATAAAGAAATCTATATATATATATATTAAAGGAAAAACCAACTAGAATGACATGACACTATGAGATTTGAGTATTCCTCAATCTTGAAATGTGGTTAAATTTGTTTTATCCCATATCGGTGGGAAGAAAAAAAGTAAAAGGAATGATATGTGTATATATATATATATATATATATATATATATATATATATATATATATATATATATATATGAAAAGATGAGGTGATTCTTTTTGTTGCAAGTCATGATGTTGGCTCAAATGAGTCAACAATTTTATTTGTAATTGTCATTATGAGATTTGAGTATTTTTCTTAAATTTTGAAATGTTGGTTAAGTTTGTTTATATCATATAAAATATTAACTTTAAAATATTGAGATGACATCTTGTTAAAAAGTATATTGAGATGATATGTTTATATTGAAATATCCAGGGAACAAGTTGGAGTTGAGTGTAAATTTTGGAGAAATTATAAATAATATGATGGAGATGTTCTAAAAAAACTAATGCAATTTTTTTACTAAAAAAATTTGAAATTTATGTTTCAGGAAAAATAATAACTTGCAATTATATATAATTTTTTTTCACCTGGATATCCAATCCGCTACGCGAGGCGATTAATCCCAGAGCGACCACCTGCGAGTCATTGTATTTGAACTTCCATGGCCATAAGGGGATTTTTATTCCTCCTTAGATTCGAACCTATGACCTCCAGACACTTTTGATCTTCGGAGTTCAAGCTCAAACCAATTGGGCACAACCCTTATGGTTGCAATCATATATAATTGTGTGTGTGTATATATATATATATATATATACATATAAAGACAGAGGATCGAATGAGAAGTGAAGTTAATGTGAGAAGTGTAAGACGTGAGCTGGACCCATACATACCAGTAAAATTCAACACTATCGCTTACTTACCAGGTAAGATTTTATTTATTAAAACGCATCGTATGCAACAATTTGTCCCAGTAAACACTAACCATGGTAAAAGTCGTCATCCTCACTTATCGGGTTACACTCTCGAAACTTGTCTTCGCTCTTACCGGGTAAGATTCTTAGTCATTGCCATATTCATTCGGTAAAGTAAATTGACTTGGTAAGCGCTTACTTAAGTAAGCGTTTGGTAAACGACACCTAACTCTCATATTCATACGTGGAGTTGAAGTATATGCATGATACAAACTATTCTTTTTCTAAGTTATATGGAATGAAAGAAGTCCATTAGTTTCTAAGCAACTCTTTCAAGTATACTTACATATCATTCAAGTTGACGTATGCATGTTGACTTATTTTTAGGTCCAACATATTTCAAAATTTACAGCAAGTAATCAATTTGTCAATAGATATTATTTTTACGTATATAATTGAATGGCTGCTTGGAAATAATTGTTACCAAGTAATCAATATAAGGTCATTTTTGATGATTAACCTGGATATCCAACCCGTTATGCAAGCCGACTAATTTCAAGACAACTATCTGCTTTGCAGATAGCTCGTAGTCACCGCATTTGAATTTACATGGCTACAAGGGGATTTTTGTTCCTCCTTGAATTTGAAATCTGGAACGTCTTGGTACTTTTGATCTTTAAAGCCAAGTTCAAACCAATCAAACACCACCCTTGTGATTACCAAGTAATCAATATAAGGTCTTTTAGTCTATCCTACATAACTTGGACGGAAGACATTTTAAAGAGCATTAAATTAAGCCTTTAAAGCTACTTGGAAAAAAGCATAATCGGAAACTTTCATAACTTCAAAGAGAAAAAAAGTACCCGAAACTTAATACACGCTTAGGGGTCGTTTATCTAAATGCTTATCCGGTAAGCATTTATCGTTAAGAGTCAATACCAAAATGGTATCGTATGCAACAAGTTACTCGGGTAAGAGTCATCACCCTCACTTACCAGGTAATACTCTCCATTTTTATTATTGCTCTTATCGGATAAGATTTTTGACCCTTTATCATTAACTTCGGGTAAGAAAAATTACCCGGTAATCACTTACCAGATAAACTTTTAATAATATTTACTCAAAATAATATGTTTGGTAGGAAATCAGTTTTACAAAAAGTTAAACAAAAAAATAAAAAATAAATAAAAAATCCGATTTATCTTTTTGGCCAATGATGTGATTCGTAATGGCATCCCTATCAAGATATCACCATGACCAAATCCATTTTGGCGCTCCCACACCTTCCATTTGAAACCACCCTCAACAATGGGGAGATGCTACTCGGAAGTTCATATTTGCCAGTGCTTGAGCCGGCTAGCAACTTTCCGACGTAATTCTCCGGTCACAATCTACGGCAACAGAGTTAATACTGGACGACAGTTTGTTGACGGAGTCTTGGATCTCTCATATGGACTTGTCCAGTTCGGTTTGAAATCCGGGGACGTTGTAGCCATCTCTGCTTTTAATAGGTTCATTCTTCTGCTTGAATTAATCTGCTTTTTTTCTTTTTGCAAATAATTAGATTGAGATTATGTATAATTGATGCTGCTGCTTCCTTCCGCAAAGTCAACTTCGATTTCAGAAATTTAAACATTGTGGTTTTTGGATTTAGCATTGACGTGAATGTTTTTAGTTTCTTAGTTCCAATTCCTGGTTTAATCTAAACAATCATCATCATTCTCTTATAATTACAATGTATTTTTGCCTGTGAATCAAACAGCACAAGTTGTAATCACAAAAATGGGCTAATAGGTAGCTGTAGTTTTGAAATTTTGCCTAAATGTAAATGTTGCAAACTTTGTTGACATTCCAAATGATATGTAACAATGGGTATTTGAGTAACTATAAGTTTATTCTTGTTTATGACAGAGGCTGATTGGACGTAATTTTAGACTTTTTGTCAATTAAATATGATAAATGATTCAGTAATATATTTGGTTATGGTTAATTTGGATGTAATGTTACTCCCTTTGCTCCCGAAAGAGATCTACACAAGTCAATTTAATGATTTTTAGCTCTAAGTTAATATTATGCTAAGAGTTATAGCGAACAACTTGATGATTATGATACTCTATAACAAGTGCCACAAGTGGGAAAATGTTGAGAAATAGTATTAAATTTTGCAGTAAAATTTAAACCGATAGGTAGTACATATAGACAGAGTTGTTTATTGACTACTTGTAATTCGTATGATGGTTGCCATTGATGGTTTTTGCATTTTAAGCAGTCATTGATATGCTACTGGAAGTCAATAAGTCCTGGATCTTAAGATGAACAATCTTAAATTATTGTAGCAGTTTACTGTTTTCCTGTCCTACATGAATTCTTATACAGTTGTATTTGATTCAGTGATCTATATTTGGAGTGGTTATTGGCCATCACATTTGTTGGGGCAATAGCTGCCAACCTCAACTACCGCTGGGTAAGTAAATCTCTAGATTCTGTGAGTTGTTTGTTTTATTGAAATATCTAAAAATATGATATGATAAATTGTCAGTCTAAGCTGGTTGCTCTACTAGAAACCTTATGTGTCAATTGGTCACATATCTGTGCACATATTCAGTATGTTCAAGATCACATAAAAAATACATTGATGCAAGGAAAGCGAATATTATTTGAGTGCTAGAATTATTGAGGCATACATCTCTTTTTGCTATTTCTTCAATCAAATGTGATGATAGTCAGTCTGAAGTTTTCTACCGTGCCATCTTCATTAGTTCAAAGACCGGGCATGGGGGTTGATTCAGTTGTATCGGGTTAAGAACTTTGACCATTCCAATTGAATTCTCTCATTGTCACATAAATTATGGGATCATGCCTGAAAAACCTCCTTGCAGAAAGGGGAAGACTTTTTAGATGACTTCCAAGTTCCATCCCCGGCTCTTTTAAGGCCAGGGAGTACTGGTGCACATAAGTCATCCTCTTTTAATGTCACTTAAAACTATTAAGTAGAAATGAGAGTCTATATGTGTGCTTAGTTTTCAAGACAGCTCATATGATGATGCTAAAACTTAGAATCTATTCTAGATTTTTTTTATAGTTTTTAAGTACACTTTTAACTCTTTCACTGAGTAACAACCTATTTTACCTGTTAGAGCTTGGAGGAGGCTCTATTTGCAATGGAAGACGTCAAGCCTATCATGTTGGTGACGGACCAGGAGTATACCACCAACTGGCATTTAGATTTCCAAGCTAATTCTGTTCCTTCTCTTAGATGGCATGTTGTCATCGATACCCATAATAGATACAGATCTACAGGGAACAGTATGTCACTTGATAGTTATATCTGTACATATAAAAACTTCGGATAATCATATCATTAATGTGAATTTACACGCTGTCATGTTTTTATTCACAGTATTAACTACCAACAAGCTTAAGATGCCTTCTCCATGTCCTGAATCGTTCAACTACTCTTCAACTTGTAATGGCACAGCAATTGTATGCTTTACTTCAGGTACTTGCAAATATTTTGAAATAATGCTTTTCTCTCGGTCTCACATACATGGCCCAATTTGGGCTGTATATAGAATGGATGTTTATATTGGGTAGAACTCAAGGAAAACATATGTTCTGGATACAGAGGTTATAAAGGGATATACCGGAATCCTATTGAGCTATGCTTAATATATTATGGAATTCGAATGTGGAACTTCATTTCACATATGCATTTTTTGACACTAAGTAGTCATAGTCAATGATCCATTGTACTTTCTGAAAACAACAGATGATGTCCTATTTTTATTAATTTGTTTTACATGTTTCTGGAAGTGAGCATTACACTTCTTTTAAGATTGACCAAATGAGCACATGGTCATATGTTCCATATTATCTGGGTTTTTTTCCAAGGGGAACTTTCTATACATGACACATCCAAACTTTGTACTTGGTGAAAGCATATAGAGGCTTGGTAATATTAGAATTCAAAGGGGGTTTCAAGGGTTCAACTAAGTGTGTGGTTCCATGTTCAACCTTTTCTTTCAGATACAAATAAATATTTGATTTATCAAGTAGAAGTCTCTGCTGAACAAGTTGTATTTTCATGTTCTTTTCCTTTTGTTATCTTCTGTTTGTAGGGACTACTGGGAGGCCAAAGGGTGTCATGTTAAGCCATTCAGCTTTGGTTGTACAATCTCTGGCCAAAATCGCTGCTATTGGTTACAGAGAGGATGATGTATTTTTTCCTTCAACTTCATGTGCAAGATATTAGAAATATAAGAACAGAAGTGGTGTGAGCAAGTGAAGCCACTTTGATTTTTTTTCCATGTTCCTTGAATATATGCAGGTGTATTTAAATACTGCTCCACTAGGCCATGTTGGTGGACTATCATCGGCTTTAGCCATGCTAATGGTAGGAGGATGTCATATCTTGGTGCCCAAGTTTGAAGCTAAATCGTCTCTTCAAGCTATTGAAAAGTATCATGTGACTTCTTTCATAACAGTTCCCACGATTATGTCTGATATGATCTCCTTAATCAGGTATTTTTCATGAAAACATATAACTCTGCTCAAAAGTACAATGTCATTGGAGATATTTTCTGTATTCATTCTTCGTGATCTAGCAATTGATGGGGAATTATCTGAAAAACAGGTCTTTCATGTGTCAAAGTTGTTTATCGGTCACCCATAGATTATGGCGAGGATTTTTTCTAGCTGTTGTATGACCTGCTGTTTTAGTATGGCATAGTGCAAGCATACTGCATTAACCAGTGAGTCTACTTGTTGATGATTCCAGAATGCATTGTTCTGCAATCCTGTCTGCATCCCTTCTTAGTCCATGTATGTTCTCTAAACAAAGAGGCATACATGTGACATCTCTTGGGTAGTAAATTTTAACTTCGAATGAAGATGAACCTTGTCTCACTTAAGGGTCAAATATTGTTGTGCGTTTGGTAGGTGTATAGGACTAGACACACTGGCGAGAGTGAGGTAGATGGTTGGAAGAATTGTTGAAGGTTTTAAGGTTTTAATTTGACCTGAGTAGTTTAGTACTTTATCAATATTGTCTCATCTCCCTGATTTTTGTTCCACCTATTTTGGTGGGACAAAAAGAATGCATTTTTGTCCCACTCGGTCTGATCTAGTCTTGTCCCAGTCCAATGTCGCATCAAATGTGGGCAAGTTTTGTACTGTCCTGTCATGTTATGTCACGTGTTCCAAACTTATAAGGGACAGGGTTAGACATCTAGGTATGCCAGTGAACTTGATTATCGCAGTTGTCTTAGCCTACACCCAGTGGTAGATAACTGCCAAAAACATAAAACAGAAAACATATAGTTCTCTAGCCAATTTTGTATCAGTTTGCATCTGCAAGCAGTTCTCATGGAGAGGAGGGAGAATATTATTTTCATTTGGAAGATGCTATTGAAGGTAAAAATCGTATTGTTTTGATCTTACATCAGATTTTCAGGACCAAAGATACATGGAAAGAGTTACCCATGGTGAAGAAGATTTTGAATGGTGGTGGCAGTCTTTCAGCCAAGCTAATTAAAGATGCAACAAACATTTTCTCTAAAGCTACACTTTTCACAGCTTATGGTTGGTTTATATTTCTGTTCCTCCAAAACAACCGGGTTATTTAGCTCAATGACCTTCTCCAGTAGCTGGTTTTGAAAAATGACCCCCTGGTGTATTTCTAAGTTTTTATGGGAGCAGACTGTTTTAAACCGGAGGCAGGCTGTTTTGAACAGGTCAGATGAAGGTCATTGAGCTAAAAAAAAGGTTTTAGAAGGTCATGCTCCTAACTGAAAACTCATTTAATATCATTCATCTAAAGCACCCCCTCCAAATCATTGGTTAATCGAATGTGTTACTTGTTTCTGATTGCTTTAAACTTTTTTCATTAAGGTATGACAGAGGCTTGTTCTTCTATAACTTTTATGACCCTTACTGATCCAAAGAAGCAAACAACCACAGACCAAGCATTGGATCAAACCACTGACTTGAAGTTAAGTTTGTTCCACCAACAAGAGGGTGTTTGTGTTGGAAAGCCTGCACCACATATTGAGTTAAAGATCAGCACCAAGGACTCGGCTCATGTTGGACAGATATTAACAAGGGGACCCCACTTAATGATTGGATACTGGGACCAAATTCCAGTAAAAGAAAAATCTGGCTATGAAGGCTGGCATGAAACTGGTGATATAGGACGGATAGACGATCATGGTAACTTATGGCTTATTGGGCGCATGAAAGGGCGCATCAAGAGTGGAGGAGAAAACATTTATCCTGAAGAGGTTAGCCTCACTTCTATTACATTAGTTTGATTTTTGAGGTCATGGGATCTCATCTTCAAGATCAACCTCATTATGAACTTAAATGCTTTGAGAAAAGAAATAAATTACTCTATTAAACTTTATAGCAAGTTAGCAACTATCACATGTGTTGTGGAAATGTCACCAAAAACCAAACAACATGGCTGGGTTCTAAACAAGGAGATCTATCTAACAAACCAACAACAATATAGAATACATATATGTTATTTGTGTCATAACATTTCAGCCATGTGCATGTGACGACTACCCCACTACCACAAAATTGGTTTTATAGGACTTCAGATATGTCTAAATGTCCTAATAGACTACTTTACAGGACTAAGTTTTTGGACCAAACAGTTGCGAGCTATGTAAATGTGTTACAATAAGACATAAGTTGATTAGACGATTTTGGGTGACCTAATAAGTTTTTTTAGTTTTATTAGTCTTTTATATGAAATTATTTGAAAAAAGGCTGACGTCCTCGCAAGACACTTCTCAAAAGTGTCATAAAGAAGTTAATAAGATACTTTATTTCAAAAACATTCTAAAAAAAGTAAGACTAGGATTCGCGAAAGCATGCATAAGACCCACAATTGTTAAAACAATCTAGAACATGTAGACATGTATGGGTCGTTGTACTTTGCGATGTTCTTTGTCGCAAGTCCAAGTCACCTACATAGCTCTTGGCGACTTTACAAGTCGCATGCAAGTGCCAAGTAGTTTCTGGTGTACCCAGAGTCTTAACCCTTAAGTCACCTACAAGTCGCTTACCCTCACCGTTTTCACCATCATAAAAAACAATGTTGGTTTTGAATTTTAAGAGTACCAAGTTTGACATAATCGAAGTCTACACCCAGTTTTTAGAAAACAGGGTGTAAAATTGTTACCAGGTGTGTCAACATAGATAAGCAGCTCGCTCTAAGCTTTTTTACTTCTAAATAAAAACAAATAAAAAAAACAAAAACTTATCTTCTACTTGGTTAGTTTCCTTCTCATTTCGGCTGTTAAATCCGTAGAACTTGTCTTAAAATATTCATCTGTTTAATGTAGGTAGAAACTGTCATATTAAAACATCCTGGAATTTCTGCGATTGTAGTCATCGGACTTCCAGATATCCGTCTGACTGAAATGGTGGTTGCTTGCATCCAATTGAACCACAACTGGACATGGGCTGGTTCAAGTTCAGACCACACAACTGCACAGAAGGAACAATGCATATCCAGTGAAACCCTCAAGCAATTTTGTAGAACAAATAATTTGACTGGGTAAAGTTTGTCATTTTCTACCAATTGTTTTTGACAAACTTCATAAACCACTCGATGCTCCACCAAAAATCTTTTTTGCTAAATTTTCCCGCTTAACCGGGTCTACACAGAAACAATCGCTCTAATCAATTTTCATAGAAGTCAGGTCTACATACATCTTACTTCCAGACGGTATGTGAAGTATGCCGAGTGTGTTTGGTTTTTACTAAACCGAACGAACCAGGTACATTGGTAAAATATACGCAGACTCCTGACCTCTACCCAAAAAGTAGAGTGATTGTTTTCGTGAAGACTCCGGTGCCGAGATATTTAGGTATATAACCTTAGATAAAATCCATTACCCTTGATGAGTATAAAATCATTTTTCTTTTGATAGTTCAAGGGATCATGAGTTTAATTAAAATCTCATTAAGGTTATATGTCTAAATGACAGGCTTGTGAAAAGTGTAACACTGAGAGAAAGACAGATATGATAAAGTTTTAAAAGAGTAATTAATAACATACAAATAGAAACAGGTACCAAAAAGTGTATTTGGTTTTTATTGTTGTAGAACCATCGATACCCGGGTTACCAGAACCTGTACTCTAAGGAAGCCAAGGGTTCCAACTTTCCCGATGAGTACTTATTGCATATTAATATTATATACTTGAAAAGAATATGAAAGAAGGGACTTTGCAACAACCAGTACGACACCCCTTTTGACAGGGAGGGTCAACGGGTTAGAGACATTTACCAGCCCTTGCAAAACCGAAGAGGCTTGATGCATCGTGGTTAGCCTTTCGTGTTCGTTGATATCTAGTTTTACATTTCCCTTTTTGTATGCATTTGCAGGTTCAAAGTTCCTAAAACATTTATAATATGGAACAAGAAATTCCCATTAACAACAAGTGGGAAATTGAGAAGAGATCAACTCAAAGGAGAAGTTATGTTTCACATGAAGTTATTCCCCAGCAGTCTATAAGGTGGCAATTATGCAACATCTATACTGGAAATGAGGTATTAATCACATCATACCCAATAGTTTATATTTTAGGCTCGTATATGAAGTTGTAGATTTATTGTCCTGACCTATTCAGTTCCATATACCAAATGCAGCCTAGAAAAGACGTTAAAGTTACATATTTGCTCATTTATCATCATTATACCCTTGTGAGAATGATAGAGCCCTAGGACTGCGAGCTACGTGTTAGGGTCGTAGGTTGGGGGAGGGTTAAGAGAGTCGACTGATACGTGTTAGGGTCGTGAGGGTTTGATTTGGTTTGGTTTAATTTTCCTTCAGATACATTTACTTATTATTTGGTTTATTTCATTCAGTTCTTAGTGCTTTGAAACTTGCTTACTATCAACTTAATGGTCTAGGTTTTGGGTAGTTGCTTATTTCATACAGATTATTATATTAGATATTTTTTTTAATAACCTGGATATCCAACCGTTATGCGAGTCGACTAATCTCAAGGCGACCACATGTTTTGTAGATAGCCCGGAGTCACCGCATTTGAACCTCCGTGGCCATATGGAGATTTTTATTCTTCCTTGGATTTGAATCTGAGACCTCTTGATATTTTTGACCTTTGGAGTCGAGCTCAACCCAATCAGGCAACACCCTTGTGGTTTTGTATTAGATATTTGTTCTCATACCTGATGGATAGAGCATCTTTAATGAATTCTTTAAAATGGAGAAAATAAAAAATTATTTTAGGCATTCTTTTTTTTCAACAAATTCTCGAAAATGAATAAAATCTAATTTTTGTGAACTATTTACAAGTGATTGCTTAGAAAAGAGAAATGATTTCTTTTTATTACGTCGACCAGAAAAATCCTTGAAATTAAATGTTAAAGAATACAAAAATATTTTATTATATTTACTGAATATTTTAATATTTTAATTAATATTGTAATCTTCAAAATAAGAGATTATTTGAATTTAAAATAATATTTTATTTTTTTGAAGATTTAAATTTATTCTTCATTTAAAAAAATTAAAATATGTTAGATATGCTCTTGGTCGGGTCCCGAATGATTTGGGCCTAAACCGAACTCTCATAATCGGTTTTTAATTCGACAAGGAAGTTATAATGGATCGGATCCTAAGGTCTTCCATTTTTCTTCAAAGATAAATTACGATTTTTGTTCATATGGTTTGTTGATGATTTTAATTTTCTTTCATGTAATTTAGAAATTATGATTTTTATTCTTATGGTTTATAATTTATTGTTATTTTCATCACTGAATTAATTGTTACCAATAAGTATAAGGGACCAAAACAGTAAACAATTATAAATCACGGGAATTGAAACAACAATAAATTGTAAATTATAAAGACGGAAATAGCAATGAGTTACAGATTATAGGGATGAAAAATGCAATTTCTAATATACATGGATGAAAATCACAATCTTTATCGATCCACATGGACGAAAAACATAATTTACTCTAAGTATAACTTCTATGAAAATTTGATTTGATGTAGGATTTATTAAACGTTAGAAGTACAAAATTTATAAGTCGCAGCCTATGAATTACAGAGTACTGAATCAAGGGGGTTTTGATGTAGCGGAGTTGCTACAGAGAATAGGCGTGTGCATAATTCAGTCGAAATTAAAACTTGTCAGAGTAATTACTGATTTAGGCATCTCTTGGTCAACGACTGGTTTGAAAATTTTGAAATTAAATTACTCGGTTAAAATAAACTGTAAATATCAAAATATTTTGAAATTAAGTGTTAGTCAGTATATATGTGACTCGTTAATTTTAGTGATTTGTTTTTAAGGCAATACTTTGTCGATTTGCCCTTCATTTTTTTCTCTTATATCATTTTCTTCATTGAAATATTCTATGAAAACAAACGGTTAGATGCGTATTTTTTTTAAAAAACATAAATGGTTAGCTGTACCTTTTACGTGAATGTTCACATTCCAGTCCAAACTGTAAAAAGACACTAGTTTTGGTCGTTAGATCAAGGCATTAATTTGACAGATCTGGTTTGCAAAATCGTCGAACGAGCTGTGGTCTAGATTAACCAAACAGAACCGTGTACATCCGTAAATGATGTGAGACACTATGTGTGTCCCAATATTGATCAATCTTCATGTAAGCATCAAAATCATCAATGGCAGAAGATATTTCTTGTAAGAACTTAGAAGGAGTAGAGAGAGAAAGTCAATGTTCAATTCTTGGTCAAACTTGTATATACGAATTTGATATTACAATATGGCTCTCTACTAAAAATACAAACCCAACACCCTTTATATAGGGTCAAACTAGACAAAATAGTCAAAGTCAAACTATTCTAATAAAAGTCAAACATGATGACTTTTAAACAATTATAGACAATTTTATCTTTCAAGACGAATACAATTTTACACTGATTTTCAGTCCTAACACACTATGGTGTTAGGAAACAGATATGAGCTAAAACTATTGACAAATAGGATGGTGTGTCCGATCCGCTAGAAAAAACGAGTTTGGATAACCATCCTCGATAATACAAATGGGCATGAATACGCTCATTGATATTAATGGACGGACACGGACAATACAAAACAATTTATGACAGGTTCGTGCGGCCCTTTTATATAATTTTTTTCACAAACATACAAGTAATTAAGTTTTTATAACATATATATATATATATATATATACACACACACACACACACATATATATAGACTTGAGATCATATGAGACCAGTCTGTTTTCGTGAGACCCATGAGACCATTTTTTTTACATTTGAAACTTCACAGCAAAATGTTGTGAATGTGAGACTTTTTTTAACCTTTACAGTGTTTTTGCTGTGAAGTTTCAAGTGTAAAAATGTGGACTCACGAAAACATGCTAGTCTCACGTGAACCCAACCCTATATATATATATGTAATTATGTATATATATATATATATATTACAAAATTACTAATGGTTCCGTTTGGTTTACAACATTGAATTGGATTTGGAGTTCAATTTCATCTAAATCTTTTTTTTGTTTTGAAAGATTTTCTGGATTTCAAATCCCATGAGATTATTGGTGTTTCACGGGATTTTATAGGATTTACAGATAATACTGTTTTAAAATACGTTAATTTTTTTTTATTATAATTAGTTAATAAAAAAGTAATTTACTTATTTTATAATTATTTATAATTTGTTTTCATAAAGATTTTAAATCCCTCCAATTACAAGTCATTTCACGAAATTCAAATCTCTCAAAATCATTTTATCAAACCAAATACTAGTTTTTTTATAAAAAAATTTCATGCATTTCATAATCTTCTCACTATAAATACTAATTTTTATTTGAACATTTTTTAAGTAATAAAAATACTGATTTTTTTATTCATTATGAGATTGAATCATTATTATTTTAAATAATATATTTTTTAAGTGTATACCTATAATATATATTTTAATAATATAACAAATGTTAAATTCTTTAAAATAAAAAATCTGTTAGAATTAAATATAATTCTTTTTAATGTCATTTAAAAAAGTTAATTTTTATTATTTAAATATTAAAATATTATTTAATTTAAATATGACAACTTACATTTTTCTTTATATATAAATAAAAAATAAATGAAATAATTTAAAAAGTCAACAATATTTAATTTGAAAAGGACAGTAAAAGTCAAAGATATTTCTAGAAGGAAAATATATGGTCATAGAGAATGGTAACAACCCCATCATCAAACCAGTCAAATATGAAAAGGATGGAAGAAATTGAAATTTAGAGTAAAGTTCCAATTTCATCCTAATGTTTGTTTATTTAACGGATCTCGTCCTTCAACTTTCGTACGTTGTGTTTCTTCCTTTTTTTCTAACGAAACTTATCCCTTTGTTTAACGAAATTAACTTTTTTCTGTTAAACAAGGCTAGCTTAATCATTTTTCTAAATTTTCTAGTGATTTAGGGTCTGGGTTTGTGTCTTTGTATGTGTATGAATTTGAGTTTGTGTCTGTGTTTGAGTTGGTTCTTCTTTTTTATGTGTTCGTGTTGTACGGTTTGATTGTGTTGGATGGCCAACGAAGTGGGTTTGTTGGGTTGTGGTGGACGGTCGACGAAGTGGATTGTTCTTCGTCGAAGTGTGATGTCGGGGGAAGAAGGTAGTGGTGCATTACTTGGCGTGACTTTCCTTCACCTCAACTCGATTACACCCCTTGCTTTCAGTACCATGTGCATTCAAACACAGAACATCATCAAATGGCACATTATATACATAAACGATCTCTTTCAAAAACATGGGTGTTACAACATCACCACAAGGTCTACAACATCCATGGACTGTTCAACTTTGGAATTGCATGATTCGATCAAAGGAAGAAGACAAAGCAGCTTCTTTAGTTTTTCTTCAAAATCAATTGCTAATAAAGTCTGCCGATTGATCTCTTTGTATTTAAGGTCTTTGTTGGTGCCAATTGCCAAACATAATCGATTTATTAAGGAATTTTATTGTTGAGGCCCGAATCCCCCAGTGTTTGCCTCTTGATCTCCTTAGCATCTTGTTCATCAAGGGAAGGGGTTGATTTAGGATTTAGTATTTTTTGGAAAAATTAAGGATAAAAAGAGGGGTACATGATAAACTTGACATACCCTAAAATAACGATGTTAATTTGAGGGACGATTTTGACCTTTAAAACACGAAATAAAGACCAATAATGTAATTACTGAATTTTACAAACGAAAACCAAACAACAATGAAAACACAGGGACCAACGGTATAATTCAGTCTTATTATTATGATAATTTTGTATCTGTATGATATAACGGTATATAATATCTTATGGTAAACAAAGAATTCAAATTAATGAATGTTTCGTTTTTAAAAAAAATTAGAAATCTATGTTTAATCAAAATACAAATTAGTATGATATGTAATTATACATATTTATACATAAATGGCTAAATACGATAAATTAATTAGCAGGGTTCTATTTGATCTTGGTGTGAAAGTATGAAGAAAAGATTTATATATGAATTATTAAAAAAAATCTATTTGAAAATGTATATATAAACAACGTTACAAATTATCCAACATTTACATATACATTTCCAAATATATATATTTTTTCTCAATGATTCATATATGAACCTTTGATTAGCACATTTTCATTATATTTTAACATTCACATTTGAATATTCATATATATAGGGTTGGGTTCCAGTGAAAATGAAAGTTATAATAATAAATATAAGAATATATCTCTACCATTGGATCATTCCTATTTGAAAAGAAACATTAGATCAACACTCATGAGATACATCAAATTTATTTCCTTTCAAAACGTAATTCATGGGTTGTCTTAGGATTAAAAGCGATCAAGGCTTCAAATCTCTTCGTACACTTCTTATATTAACTTTCATATCCTATTCTCATATGATACTTCTCTCTCTCTCTCTCTCTCTCTCTCTCTCTCTCTCTATATATATATATATATATATATATATATGTGTGTGTGTGTGTGTACGCGTATGTGTGTACATATATGTATACACACACACACGGCAAATCATTTGCAAATCGTCCAAATATTACAAACCATACAAACCCATCTAGGCTATCCATTTTTTGATCAACGGTTGATATAAATTGGAGGAAATTTTGAATTTGAGATGATGAAAATTTAAGAAAATGTTAAATTTAAATTATTAATCATATGATTATCTATTTTTAATTACAATTTTTTTCATTATTATTCTCTCCATCAACTTTCATATTAATCGAAATTTATCAACCGACCATAATTTCACCTCACCTCATCGCCGACTATCTTCCTCACCCCTCTCGCCGACCATCTTTCTCACCCCCTCGCCATCGTTGACCATCACGAACAAAAACATATGCAAAATCAACAATAAGATAAGGATGCAAGAAGATGAAGTCGTGAAATCAACCAACTACGTAAAAGATAAGATAAAATAGATCTTGAACCTTCTCTAGTTTTTTTTTTTTTTTTTTTTATTAACCTGGATATCCAACCCGTTATGCGAGCCGACTAATCCCAGGACAAACACATGTTTTGCAGATAGCCTGAAGTCACCGCATTTGAACCTCCGTGGCCACAAGAGGATTTTTATTCCTCCTTGGATTTGAAAACCCGAGACCTTCTGGTACTTTTGACCTTTGGAGCCAAGCACAAATCAATCAGGCACCTCCTGGTACTCTAGTTTTTTCTTCAACCATCTTTGTGGGATTTGGTTCGTTTTGGTGTTAGTATTTTACGATTTATGAAATCGTTTTTTAACACATGAGAGATATTATTCTTTTTTAAAACATATGAATTGTTATTCGTTTGGTTTGGTGTTAGTCTTTGTTCAACACATATGAAACATTATTATGAATCTTTTTACAAAAAACATAAAATCTTGTTTCATAAGTGAAACAACATAAAACTAAGGTAACAAAATCTGTTATTGTTTCATATGAGAATTGATTCATATTTTACAGATAATCATTTTCATTAGGGGGTGTTTGGGATTGCTTATAAAAACAACTTATTGACTTATTCCAGTGTAACACCGGTAATAAGCACTTTTGAGTATTTGTATAAACAACTTATACCGGTGCCAAACCGATAATAAAGAGTTTTTGAAGAAATTAAACTCTTTTAACTTATAATAAGTTGACAAGTATTTTTGTAAAAAAAAAAAACCTAAGTTATTTTAAATAAACAATGCTATATGTAAAATACGAATCAGTTAAAAAGACACAAATACTGTTTTTTGTATGGTTTGCAAAAGAAAAGATTTATATATAAAATAATGGGCATCTCCGTCTTTTTACATTTTTCACTTATTTTATTTATCAAACCATCTATAATATACCAAGAACCAAAACAATACAAATAAAAACGTTCGTACTAAACTTAAACAACCAATTTGTAGCCTTAAAATTAATACATATTATACTAAAATTAACATCATCAATGAAGCCAAAATTGTGATTTCATGTCTCTATCTACCGTCGTTTTGACGATTTCTTGTTCTGCGTGTGGGATTTCTCAACGTCTCCCTCATCGTCGTCCCCTCTCCTCCTCTTCCCACCACCCGTTTCCTTTATTTTCTACACAAATATCCAATCAAAGAATTAAACATAAATGGCACTAAACACCCATCCGTCATTCCAAAAGATATCGTTCCAAAACATACCATCAGGGACAACCGTTTCGCCTCTGTCACCCGCTCCAACAGCAACAACACTTCTGCTTCTTCAGCTGGAAACTCCGGCAGCTTCTTGCCTGAAGATGAAAAGTAGTTGTTAGCTTCATGGATATCGGCTATGGTGTTGGAATATGTGAAACCCCGTTAGATTGGAGATCCCTTATAAACACAGGGTGATGTGGACTCCAAGATGCCCCCTCAAATGGAGGCTTAATTAGATGGACAATGTCTAGAGTCGATGTGGATTCCAAACACGCCCCCTCAAACAGAAGCTAGATGCACCTCCTTGAACATAGGCTTGACTGAGTGCGTTGGGTCACCAGTGATGATAGACACCAATTCCAATATCATGTTAGAGCGTCTCCAACAAATTCTCTTAAAAGAATTACATTCAACTCCAACAGTTTCTCCGTTTTGAAGATTACAACATTAATATATTATTAAAATATTCACTACAATTAATAAAATACTATTTATGTCTCCTAAATATTTAATTTCAATGATTCTCATTGGTGAGAAGAATAAAAATCAGTAATCATTTTTGTAGAGAATTCTCCAAATTTGGAGGATTTCACATTCTCTCTTTTATTTTCTTCAATATAATAAAATTTTGGAGAATCAGTTGAAGCAAAAGACTAACCAAAATCCCCAAAATCTCTATTTTGGAGAACATGTTGGAGAAGCTCTTAGAATATGTGAGACACTTTCAGATTAGTCTTCAAAAAAGCCCTTTAAAAAGGGGAGGTTCCGACATATATAAAGATTAGATAGACCATGTCTAGCCGATGTAGGACTCCAACATTTATATATATATATATATATATATATATATATATATATATATAAGAGAGAGAAAATCAGGTTCACACGAGAATAATAACCAAATAAGAGAATAAAAAAACAGTCGAATCACATATAATTTTACGCTAAAATCACGTGTGATTCACACGACTTTGGCCGCGACCAGAGGTTGAGGGCACGTCGCCCGCACACCTTAACATCGACCATTAGTGTGATTTGGCCGTGTTCGTGTTCTTTTATATAGAAATTGTTCTCATTTGAACCTCCCTCTCTCTCTCTCTCTCTCTATATATATATATATATATATGTATAATAGTATTACTCATACCAATTAATTTCTCTATTTGGATATACCACTCCAGCTCGTACTGATTCACCAACGAGATGGCAACCCCAGATCGGCCTGCACGTGCAGTTCTTCCAACTCGATGAATATAGTCCTGAAATCCCATATCATAATTCAACAAACGCTCCAAATGTCACCAGACAAATCTAGAGGTGGGGTCTTGGGGGATGGGATGTAAGCAGACCAGACCTCTACCCCGAAGAGTAGAGCGACTATTGACCCCGGATTGTGAAGTTTGCAAAAAGAAAGAATAGATCTTGACCTTTGAGTTTGTGGGAATATCATAATTTATCACCATATCAACCGAAGGGATATCGAGTCCTCTGCTAGCTACATCAGTACAGATAAGAATATTACACTCTCCAGCTTTGAACTTGTTCAATGCACCAAGCCTTTTTGCCTAATTGACAACATTTTTAGAAAGTTAGAACTAAAAAAGATCAATAAAGAAAGCTTATAAGAAACCCAAAAATGATACCTGAGTCATTTGACCAGAAATCGGGATCGCCCGTAAACCAAGATTCCGCAGCATCAAAGCCAAAAGCCGGGTGGCTTCACAAGTTCGAGTGAAAACCATAGATGTACTTCCAGACTTTTCAATCAAGATATATACAAGATAACAGTCCTGTGGATACAAAATGATTTTATTTTTAGAGCACTACTCAATATATAATTCTATTCCAGTTCCAGGTTACAGACCTTGTGCTTCGCGGGTACAAAACGAAACTGCTGTTTCAAGGTGTCAACAGTGGAATATTTTGACGCTGCTTCGATCTGAAAGGGATAAGAAGATATGGATTTTGTTGAATGTTCAATAGCCGTGCAATTTGTAGAAGGTTTATATTGTTACCTTTACGGGATTTCTTAGACAAGCTCTCTGCAGCTTTTGAACCTGCAAATTGCAATGATAGAAATTGTAATGTTACTCACTTCTCTCGCTCGAAAAATCTTTTCTTACTTCGCGATTGATCAATTAGCGATGGTACACAGAGAAACCAAAAAGAAAAGGTGCGGCGGCGGCTTGTTTGTTGTACAATGATGCCCAAAAACAATACCTCTAGTGTGCAACTTCCAAGCTCGTTTACATTACTTTATATCCGCATACATGATTTCTTTCATATTTATTTAACAATAGAGGAGAACCTGCTAAGTTCCTCGAACTACATCGATATTCTATTCATCACACTTGCAATACATCCATTTACGAAATGTCCCATGAAGATTGCAACAACTCTTTTCTTGACAAATTGCCAAGTCTTAGGGCCTGCTTGTTAGCAGCTTAATGAGCTTAATGAGACTCACAACTTATTTGGTCAATTATACATGACTGTTTGGTAGTAGTTTAATGATATAGAAATTGGTTTATTCAGTAGGGGGTACTTTATGCAAAAAGCCAAGTTTTTGTCAAACCTGTCATTCCCAATAAAAGTACGCTCCTTCCATCAATGAAAAAACCCTCCCAAACAAACACTTTCCCAATCTATACAGACAGATCAATCCACACAGACAGCTTTATCCATATAGGACTTAAGGAAAACCAATCAAACAGACCCTATGCTATGTTTGGCAAACTAGTTGTTGATTGATAAACTAGCTAATAAACTAGTCATTTTTAGTAAAAACTAGCTCATAAGCTAATTGACGAGGTAAAATGACCTAAAAATCGTATGAAAAATAACTGAAAAGGTATAAGGGGCATAATTGGAAGAACAAAATGGAAACCCCCCCCCTTCTCAAAAAGCTAGCTTATGGCAAACCAATAGGGATTTTCAAAAAGCTCAAAAAGTAAGCTGGTTTATGGTTGCCAAACACAGCTTTACTAGATAGTGTAAGACAAGGCAGTGTTGGGTCCAATGCTGCAATTTTCATGGGATAAAGGAAGTAGATACCAAAATAATAGATTATGAGAGCCTAAACTTTAATAATTGTATCACAGTTATAATTCACAAACCGCAACAACGGACAACTTTATTTTGAAGATTTTGATTATAACAAGATTAACAGAGGAACCAAAGGGCCTTTGTCCTAGCGGTATATGAGCCTTCGGCCTCCAGAGGTTCAAACCTCACCGAAGGTGAGGAGGGCATGTCAGTTTATTTGTTGCATTTGCAGTATATAAATATTATATACTTCAAAAAGAAAATATCAGAGGAGGTTCACCAAAAACACATATTGAAGTGCAGCAGTAACAGCAATCAAACCTTCTTAGTCATTGTAGCAGAGAATAGGTATGTCCTCCGTTCACGAGGAATGGCGTTTAATATTTCATCTAACGACTTCTCAAAGTCTTCATTTAGCAACCTGTCTGCCTCATCCAATACCTGAAAAACATGCACGAGAAGTATGCGCTTCATCTTAACAGAAACCAACTCAACATAATCATCAAAAAGAAAGAATATTGCGTCTTTATGAAATGCAGAAATTAAAATAAGTTCCCTACAATAGCCTATTATTCTACCAAGAAAAGTCAAGCTCTTACCAAGTACTTTATAGTGCGAAGAGAAAACCCTTTAGTATTGGATAAATGATCCACGAGCCGTCCAGGTGTCGCAACCTGCATTAAGAGGAAATTGTATAAGATGCAGTAACTGCTATGCTGTTACAGCGGCCAAAATTTGAAATCACGGTTCATGACTGTGGTATGATGTAGCAGTTGTCGCGGTGGTATAGCGGTCTAGCGGTTCATATAATACATGTTTCGGCAGCTAAATAGTAAACTTACAATAATGTGTGGCCGCTTTCCGAGAGCAATGCTTTGTTGTACCTGATCCACCCCTCCAACAAGCTGCAAATTTGAAGTCAAAGGTTAAAACAGATTCGTAATTATTAATCATGATGGTTATCATCTAATCCTATCTTTTCATGTATCCCATTTCCCATCTCCCTTTAATTTATCATCTACCCACTTCGATTTAGCCATAAGCTCCCTCCGTCCCAAAATAAGTGTCCACAATGAAATTAGAAATGTGTAATTATTATATTTTTTTTAATTACTTAAATTACAATTTTACCCTTAATAATATAAGAAAGAAGTAATGAATTTTTTCATCTCATTATTAAGGGTAGAATCGGAAAGCAGATATTCACTTTTGAAAGTGGAGACTTATTTTTGGGACAAGCTAAAACAGAAATGTGGACATTTATTCTGGGACAACAGTCTGTAATGCAATAACATAAAGACAGAGAAGTTCATCTTATATCTGCAAATTATTTGAATGAAAGCAACTAAGCAAAAGCTCACCACTGCAGACTTCACGCCGATGCTAGATCCCAACGCTTCAAACTGCTCCGCAATCTGAATTGCAAGTTCCCTACAAAGAATTCAAGACCATGGAAGAAATATAAAGCACAAAATCCATTAAATTTACCGAACAAAGGGTTTAAGGTTTAGCGCAGACCTTGTGGGAGAAAGCACACATGCAAAAAACGCTTGTGGAGCTTCCAACAAAGCTTGGAGTATTGGGAGAGCAAAAGCTCCAGTTTTACCGGAACCAGTCTGTGCTAGCCCAATCAGGTCCTTCCCTAAACGTTTGATGCAAACAGCCAACATCAGCTAGACTGAAGATGCAAAATAACCAATCCTAATCCCATTAACATAATTCAAAAATGGTGACATAACAAAAACCACAATATTCAACATATGATCGAAAAGACTAAACCTTCAAGTGCATGAGGAATGGCCTCGGCTTGTATTTTAGAAGGATTTTTCCAGCCAAGACTATCACATGCCTCAATCAACTGATCAACTACTCCTAGTTCTTTGAACGTCTTCACTTCCTCTTTGTCTTCCATACTTTAATCTGCACAAACAGGGACAAAGCAAGGATGTAAACGCTTCGTGGTGGGTTTCTGCCAGCCGGACCTCAACTAAAGCTTTGGCCATGTCAATTCAAGTTGGGTATAAAATAGTTTGCATTGTGAAGCCGATAATGACCCCGGAAAGTAGTTCAGTGGTAGCTAATAACCTTTGTTGATAAGTTGCTTTATCGAGACAAAAAGTTCAAAAATAGGAACCATAAGCAACCATTCAACTTGTGCCCCATATTACTCAGTGACCCCATTGCCTTCCCGCCTAACCCAGCATCCCAAAATTTCCAAAAACCAATGAAAGTCGCAGTAAATTTGACGAGTGCAAACGCTTGCCAGTTTTCAAAGTAATTATCTCAAATTGCTCTAGCAACAAACAAACTAGACAAAATTATGCGACAAAAGTAAAACCATTCATAAAGTTATGCGACAAAGGTAGGGCTTGGTATGCAGACCGGACTAGATAGGACAGGAAAGAACTGAACAGGACAAAAGAACAGGATTGTACTGATCAGGAATGGAACATAACAAGTCGTTTGTCTGGTGTTTGGTACAACTAAGACCGTTGCCCCTAAATGTTGTTTGATGATTTTATATATTATATAATAGTTATTAATGACAGAAATCAAGTAGACATTAAATAATTTTATTTACAAGCATTTTTACACTATTTACAAATATACATATATACATAAATACATCTGATAGTACTAAATTTGAATGAATAATTTTGTATAATTGATGGTAATTCAACAACGGAAAAAACTATGTTTTATTCGAATAGTCCCCTAATAAATTGGCAGAGGTGGAGGCGGAGGCGGTCGGCAGCCGTGGAGGTTGTTGCAGCAACAATGGTAGTTGTGGCGGTCAGAGGTGGGGTGGGGGTGATCGAGGTATAGGTAGTAATAAAGGTAGAGGTACTGGTGATTGGTATGGTGGTTACTGGTGGTGTTGGAAGTGAAGATTGTGATTGTGGCGTAGGTATAGGCGGAGGTGGTCAGCGGAGGTGGTCAGCGGTGGTGGTGGTGGTAGTGGTGGAAGTAGAGGCAGAAGTGGTCAGTGGCAACAGTGATGGATATGGAGGTGGAGGTGTTGGTCAATGGTGGTGGTGGTCGGTGGCCGGTGGCCACTGATGGTAGGTGGTGGCGGCCGACGGTAGTGGTAGTGGCGGCCGACGGTAGTGGATATGGAGGTGGAGGTGGTGCTTGTGGTGGACGGTGGTAGTGGTAGTCGATAGTGGTGGAGGTGGTCGACGGTGGCAGAGATAGACAGTTGTAACCATTAAATCACATACCATTCTAGAGTTATATCAAACACGGTATATTGGTAATTCAGGACCAAACTCAAACTTACCCATGTTTACTTCCTTTTTGAAGTATTGTAAACCTTCCTTATGATTAGAGGTTCTTGTTGCGTTGCACTACCTTAGCTTAAGGCCTTTGTTTCATCTAAAATTCACATTTTTATGTTTTGACACACTTTTAATCATTGAATCCAATAATAGATTGCATATAATGCATGTAAGCTATGTTGTTAATTGTGGTGCAACAGCGGTTCTCGTTGCGGTGGTTAAATCCCGGTGCTGAGAATTGGCGATACTATTTACTGTTAAATGGCCGATTTTCTAACAAAATAGTGGTCCGCATAACCGCTATTAGTGGTTGGGCTTTTTTTGTCTAACCAGCTTATATTGGACCTATTTAAATAATTTGGGCTTTTATTTTGGACTTGAACTTGTTTTTTTCAATGATTTAAATCATTTAATCCATCTATTTATTCTTTACTGATCAACGATTAAGATTTAGGTTTTCAACATCATCAAGCATTCAACTCCCTCTATTTAAACCATTTCCAACCTCCACCTCTGTTCATTAATCGTGGTCCTCACTCCCTCTGTTTATTAATCATTTTAGTCTCACATATGTTCATCTTCGTCGTAGTCTCTGCTCACCAATCATAAATTCACCATTGTCCTAAGTCTTAGTGAATTTCTTTTTTGGGGGACTATTAGTGAGTTTCATTTTTTCGGCTATTTGTGACTTTATAATTTCTATTTTTATTGATTACACATAATATGTTAAGCTATTTATATGTATATGTATTATGTAATATGTCTATAATTCTACATATTTATATGAACAACTATTTTTGGGCCGCTATATCATCGTGTAACCGCTATTTCAGATCACAGTACTAACTGCGATTTGGTATTTTGACCGCTGTAACTCAATAGATAATAATCCAAAACTATCTAACTCTAACATTCAAGACTACTAAAATAATAATGACAAAGTGCTGAAAAACATGTTACACAAACAAACAAATCCTAAATTGACTTTACTTATTTGTTCGTAGACTTTGGGTTCCTTCTCAGCTGATTATGCAAATAAAAGTTTGTCTCTTAGAAAGAACATCAGTATAAGCAACTAGGTCTAAAACAAGACAAATCAGTAGTCATCATTTGTATATTAGGTATAACATAAGAGTTTGGCTCTTAGAAAGAAAATCACCATTAGCAACTAGCAAAAAAGAACATCAATATTAGTTTATTAAAACTCAGCAGCGGATTGTATTGAAACTCACGTGAAGTAGAAGCATATAACTATGGGCTCTAGTGGAACAATATCACAAGCAATTTCTCCTCATCCCACTGTTTGACCAATTTGGCAATGTAACAATGAAGCTTAAGAGCTTTTCTTTATGAAAGCCTTTCATTTGCTTCTCTTCGATGCAAGTTTGATTTTCCCAGAATGTATCCTAATTTTTGGCCTAATTCTTGATTCTCAAACTTCAAATTACTAAGTCAAAAGTAATGGGTCGTTTACTAAACAGTTAAAACCATTTACCAAACACTTACTAGGTAAGCACTTACCTCGTAACGTGTGCTTACCCAGTAGGCCACTTTCCTGGTAAGATTCTCGGTTGCTCACCTGATAAGGGAAGTGACACTCCAGTAATTGGTAAGCATTTGCTAAACGTCCCTTATTGCCTCTTACAAGGTAACTTACCGGTAAGAGACAATTGTCTATACCAACGATCTTATTGTGCCATTTTGCAAACCTGGTAAGGCATTTTTGCAAATTGAGAAGCTTATACTATTTTCCCTGTAAGTGAGAAGCTTATACTATTTTGATACTGATAATGTTACCGGTGAGGTAATCCTAATTCGATTTTCGGACAGAAACACGCCTTGACATAAAACCTTTTCGATGCTTTCAAAATCCCTAATTCATAGTGAAGAAATTCAATGGATTGCGAGTGTTCGTTATTCATGTGATTAAATGACAATTAACAATGCGGATACAAGTTAGAAGAGCAGCCGGACTAGGTGTAGTGTTTAGAGAAGCTTACCTGTCGGAAGCCCACCGGCGACGAAGGGTAGACGATGAAGCTCCGGATTAGGGTTTTGTAGGAAAATAAATTTTAAAACCAGACGCATCCTGGGGTGTAAGGATGACATATAAAAATAATTTATTGACTTATTTCGGTGGAGAATCGGTAATAAGCATTTTTAAGTTTTTGGATAAACAATTTATATCGGTGCTAAACTGATAATAAGTAATTTTTGAAGAAGTTAAACTCTTCTGTTTTTATAGAAAAACATAAGTTGTTTCAAATAAGCAATCCCAAACACCCCCGAACACATAATGGCATCACTTTGACATTTTACAAAACAGGTTCCGTTTGATCGTGAAACGGTCAAACACGTCTTCCCCTAGAAAAATCCTGACACGAAAACCAGATTTTTTAATATGGGGCTTGAACTTAAACTCGAATATTTTTTTTAATGTTTGAGCTTTTAACTTGTTTATTTGTTCAAACTCGGTGATTTTTATATTTTGATTATACAATTTATAACATATAAATATGTTTGGCTCAAAAAAAAGTGCTCAAATGGCTCGACTCGTAAAGTTTAATTAAGCTTTTGAACAATTCAAATTGAGCATTGGTGTTATAGAGCTCAACTCGTTAAGTTAAGCAAGCTTTATTTTGTGCTCGAGCTCGAGATAAACAAATGCTTCAAAAGTTTCTCGAACGTTGAAATGGGACAATTTAAAACGACCCGGCCGGTTTTAACTCACAGAAAAAATTAATTATTTTGACAATAATGTGTTCTAGCTCATACGTAGATAAGTATGGAACAAACAGATGGTCTTTGTATCTGAGTTTATCCTTGTTGATATGCATTTTCTCGCCCTCGTATCTATACTATATTATAAAGCATTTGACAAAAACTCTTAAACACCATTTTTTATACACAAAGTACTGCTTATTGATACATATTACTTAAAATTCAAAATTACAAGTAAATAATGCATAAGTACAACTTATTAAAGCTTCATGTTTGAATTCGTGTAACTAACTGCAGATAAAAGTAATCAAATGCTAGATAAACATGTCATTTTAAATATAAAAAGTCTAAAATATAGTTAGGATAATCACTGTGTTATAACAGAATACTTAATTATTATCTTTATAAAAAATTATATTATTAAATCAAAAAATTAATTAGTTATTAAACCTAAATTAAATTAAAATAGAAAAAATTGAATTAAAGAAATTATACAACAAAACAAGAACTTTTTAATAGTTTATTTGACACTAATATCGATATATTTAAAAAAATTAAAATATCTTCAAATTTATATTTTATCTAAAAATAAAAACATTATTGTTTTTCTCAAAACCACATAAAACAGTATTATAACATCGATAGGAGACAGAATAAAACGAAACATTAGAATCGAAATGTATCTCGTTGCATTGCAAGAGTACCCTTCTAGTTATTACAAAATAATAGGGTATTTATAATTAAATAAAATATAATTTTATATCTAAAAAACATAACATGATAAGTTTATCTGTGTTGGTGTTAGAAAAACTTTAACGAGGCTGAATCTATTCGTTGGAGTGAACTTGTACTTGAAGATCATGGCATAAACCGTTAGAATGTCGAGTCTGCGGCAATGGTGCCAAAAATTTGACGGATGTCGAGTCCACTAAATAATAGTTAACTAACTAACCCTTTGTTGACAATTAAAATTGCAACAGCGGTAAGTCAGGTCGAATCCACAGGGACTCGGTTCAACAATCAATACGGTTAGTTAAAGTTAAATTGCAAGGGAGGGGGTCGGATTGATATATAATTCAAAATGGTTATAAAAGTGCAAGAAATTAAAGTCCAGTAACACTCTACTTTGGTAAAGATATAAGTACTTAGGGGTTATTTACCTAAATGCTTACCATGTAAGTGTTTAACATTATGAGTCAACACTATAATTTATTTTATTGGGTAAGATTGTAATACATCAAAACGTATCATATACAACAATTTACCTGGTAAGCGCTTACCCGGGTAAGAGTCGCCATCCTCACTTACCGGGTAAGACTCTCAATCCTTATTATCGCTCTTACCGGGTAAGATTCTTAGCCATTGCTATGTTCATTCGGTGAGGAAAATTATCCAATAAGTACTTACCGGGTAAGTGTTTAGTAAACGGTCTCATTGTCTCGATCTTGGATATGTAACAAAATGGACAAGTCCAAATTGGTTGAAATTGCCAACAAGTTATGATAATCTGAGTTTTTCTTTAACTAAATATTGATCAAAATAAGCTCTTTAAAAATCTTAATTACAAATAAGAGTTTAAACAAGCTCTTAAACTCCTACGTGCAACTACCTTTATCGGGTGAGAAAAAAATACCAATTTAAAGTCATAAGCTCGGTTGCGAGATTTCATAAACGTATGTCAAAAACCATATTAAAATCAAGTAGGTTCAATTGTCACTTTGTCAAAATCTTTAAACAGTTACGTATCTAGATACTCGACCATTCACATGAACATCAAGAAATTGCCCAAATCAATCGACATTCAAGTAAAATTGACATTAATCATAGAAATCCAACAAATAAACTTGTCCTAATCGATTACAATGGAATCACAAAACCAATGCATGCAAACCAAAAGATTATGCGATCTTGCATGTCAGGGTAGCATTTCGTATACTGTAAGTCCACATATATATTATGCGACCCTTGCATGGCAAGGTAGCATGTTCCTCTGTTTTGCCTTTCTTTGACGATTTATTTCGTACAACCTTCTTAAGCTTTACCAACCAACTTTCTTTGCGTTTTCTCGCCTTCTTGCTCTGATCAACGTAAAACTTGGAATAGGCTTATAAAACACAATTTAGGCTTATTAAAACATAAAAGTGGAGATTTTGAGCCTATATATATAGTAAAACATGAAAATGCGATGCTATAAAAATATCATCACACTTAGAACTTTGACTGTACTCGGGTAAATACGAAGAATCTAGCACGATACAAGACTCATCAGTTGATTTCGAGTTTTCACAAATATTCATAGCCTTTCATGAGAATGCGGTTTAACTGGTATAGAAGTAATTGACATACAAGACAAACCCACGATGAAGACAAAGCTAATTTCATAGACACCTCACAAAGGGTCTAAATCTATTCTATCCGCTCGATTTGCTCCAAAGGGTAAGTGTTTTCACTCTTGGCATCAACTCAAATGCACGTGCACTACCATAAGCTTGAACTAGGTCTCAATTATCCATTGGTAATGATCAACACAAAGTGTGGACCAAAAGGTCTTTAAGTCGATTTGTCTTAGCTAAGGGTCAAGGTGGGGGCAAATTTGGTAAAATGACTATTCTTTGGACTTCGAACAATTTCTGATCTCTAGTGGACCTCTCAGTAGGATTCGAACCCAGATGAAGTTCTGATCATCTATCAGGAAAAAAAAAAAAAGAACGAATGAATCTTGTAGGTCCCACATTTTGTACACCCAAGCAATGAAATTTACTTCATTTGAGCTCTTATTTAACTAATCACACTAAAGAGACAACTGTATTTCTTTTTAATATTGGTCTTTGTTTTTTCATATTTTCTTGCCTTTTCTTTTTTGCTCTACTCTGTCATGCCACTTTTGTACATATATTTTACAATAAGGAGATAATTGTATTTATTTTTTATAGTTATTTACCTAATCAGTGTGTAAATGTTTATGGAAGATTATCAAAGTTTATTTATTACATTTAACGTTTAATATTATGAAACAATCGATATATTAATTAGACTAGATGAACGGTTGAGATTGATTTGTATGGTTTATATTAATGGTTGTATTTGTAAATTATTATTATTATTATATATAGCTACAGGTTCATTTGAGAAGTAGGAAGTGATCCTAGTCCTTCATTTGGTCAAGATTTACAGCTTTGACTGTGAAACATCAGATAATTTCTCACACGGTATACGGAAGATGGAGGGGTAGTTTCGTAACTTTTATAAATAGACGGCAAAACAAGTGCATATGTGAACCCATATGATTTACATACGAACTATATGGTCATATGTGGACCCGTATAATTCACATATTAACTATTTAACTGAGTCACATATGAACTAATAAACTAATTCATATATGAACTAATTAACTGATTCACATATAACTATAGGTTCAAATATGCACTTATTTGCCGCATATTTGTAAAAGTTATGAAACTACCCCTCTAATTTTAGTTTGACCAGTCAAAGTTGCAATTCTTGACCAATCTTGATCGTATAAAGCGTTATGATCACTTTTTTACTTCTCAAATACTTGTCACTTCTCAAATGAACTTCTCCCTATATATATAGGGTTAAGTTCCGGTGAGAAGGTGAGTTAAGGTGAGAAGCGTAAAAAATGATCTTCACCGTTAGATGCATATTAGGATAAGATGCACTGAGATGCACCAAGATGCACCGCATCAATCCCCTTATCAAATGTGATTCATGGATGAGTTGGAGATTAAAGGTGATCAAGGGTCTAGATCTTTTCTTACGCTTCTCACTTTAACTATTTTTTTCACACGATCCTTCGCTTATATATATATATATATATATACAGACTCGGGGGAAAACCGCAAGAAAATGATATATTGAGAAACAGTCCGGTGACCGTTCATCTGGATGGTATGCACATGTGCATAGAAGTAATTTTTAAGCAATTTGTTCGGTACGCACATGTGTATAACATGCACACCTGTATAGAAACGAAAAAACAACTTCAATTACTTATATATACCATCCAATTGAATGGTTACCTGTTGGTTTTATTTTTTGAATCTTTCTCCCATGTGTGTATGGAATTAAATCATGGAGTGAAGGAAGGAAGGATTGAATAGGATATGTGGATGAGGATGATGATTGAGTTGAAAGAGTGGGAAAGGGTTGAAAACACCATGGACGGTTTTCAAATCCATGTTTAAATTTTGGTCAAACATTCCATTTAAAACCTTGTCATTATTGTCCCACACATTCATTATTTATTTAATAGTGTATATATATCTCTATATATATATATATATATATCTAGAGGTTGGTTATTATACAACCCTTGACATTTGT